TACTGTGAGTGTGTTACTGTGAGCGAGTGAGTGAGTGTGTTACTGTGAGCGAGTGAGTGTGTGAGCGAGTGAGTGAGTGTGTTACTGTGAGCGAGTGAGTGAGTGTGTTACTGTGAGTGTGTTACTGTGAGCGAGTGAGTGAGTTACTGTGAGTGTGTTACTGTGACGAGTGGTGAGTGTTCCTGTGAGCGAGTGAGTGAGTGTGTTACTGTGAGTGAGTTACTGTGAGTGTGTTACTGTGAGTGAGTTACTGTGAGTGTGTTACTGTGAGTGAGCGAGTGAGTGTGTTACTGTGAGCGAGTGAGTGTGTTACTGTGAGCGAGTGAGTGAGTGTGTTACTGTGAGTGAGTTACTGTGAGTGAGTGAGTGTGTTACTGTGAGTGTGTTACTGTGAGTGAGTTACTGTGAGTGGTTACTGTGAGTGTGTTACTGTGAGTGAGTTACTGTGAGTGAGTTACTGTGAGTGAGTGAGTGAGTACTGTGAGTGAGTTACTGTGAGTGAGTGAGTGAGTTACTGTGAGTGTGTTACGTGAGTGAGTTACTGTGAGTGTGTTACTGTGAGTGTGTTACTGTGAGCGCGTGAGTGATTGTGTTACTGTGAGCGAGTGAGTGTGTTACTGTGAGTGAGTTACTGTGAGTGAGTTACTGTGAGTGTGTTACTGTGAATGTGTTACTGTGAGCGAGTGAGTGAGTGTGTTACTGTGAGGAGTGAGTGTGTTACTGTGAGTGTGTTACTGTGAGTGAGTTACTGTGAGCGAGTGAGTTACGTGTGTGAGTGAGTGTGCTACTGTGAGTGTGTTACTGTGAGCGAGTGTGTTACTGTGAGCGAGTTAGTGTGCTACTGTGAGCAAGTGAGTGTGCTACTGTGAGCAAGTGAGTGTGTTACTGTGAGTGCGTTACTGTGAGCAAGTGAGTGAGTGTGTTACTGTGAGCGAGTGAGTGAGTGTGTTACTGTGAGCGAGTGAGTGAGTGTGTTACTGTGAGCGAGTGGTGAGTGTGTTACTGTGAGCAAGTGAGTGTGTACTGTGAGCAAGTGAGTGAGTGTGTTACTGTGAGCGAGTGAGTGAGTGTGTTACTGTGAGCAAGTGAGTGTGTTACTGTGAGCAAGTGAGTGAGTGTGTTACTGTGAGAGAGTGAGTGAGTGTGTTACTGTGAGTGTGTTACTGTGAGCGAGTGAGTGAGTGTGTTACTGTGAGTGGTTACTGTGAGCGAGTGAGTGAGTTACTGTGAGTGTGTTACTGTGAGCGAGTGAGTGTGTTACTGTGAGCGAGTGAGTGTGTTACTGTGAGTGAGTTACTGTGAGTGTGTTACTGTGAGTGAGTTACTGTGAGTGAGTTACTGTGAGTGTGTTACTGTGAGTGTTTTACTGTGAGCGAGTGAGTGATTGTGTTACTGTGAGCGAGTGAGTGTGTTACTGTGAGTGAGTTACTGTGAGTGAGTGAGTGTGTTACTGTGAGCGAGTGAGTGAGTGTGTTACTGTGAGCGAGTGAGTGAGTGTGTTACTGTGAGCGAGTGAGTGAGTGTGTTACTGTGAGTGAGTTACTGTGAGTGAGTTACTGTGAGTGTGTTACTGTGAATGTGTTACTGTGAATGTGTTACTGTGAGCGAGTGAGTGAGTGTGTTACTGTGAGTGAGTGAGTGTGTTACTGTGAGTGAGTTACTGTGAGTGAGTTACTGTGAGCGAGTGAGTTACTGTGTGTGAGTGAGTGTGCTACTGTGAGTGTGTTACTGTGAGCGAGTGTGTTACTGTGAGCGAGTGAGTGTGCTACTGTGAGTGTGTTACTGTGAGCAAGTGAGTGTGCTACTGTGAGCAAGTGAGTGTGTTACTGTGAGTGCGTTACTGTGAGCAAGTGAGGTGAGTGTTACTGTGAGCGAGTGAGTGAGGTGTTACTGTGAGCGAGTGAGTGAGTGTGTTACTGTGAGCGAGTGAGTGAGTGTGTTACTGTGAGCGCGGTGAGTGTGTTACTGTGAGCAAGTGAGTGAGTGTGTTACTGTGAGCGAGTGAGTGAGTGTGTTACTGTGAGCGAGTGAGTGGTGTGTTACTGTGAGCGAGTGAGTGAGTTACTGTGAGTGCGTTACTGTGAGCGAGTGAGTGTGTTACTGTGAGTGCGTTACTGTGAGCGAGTGAGTGAGTGTGTTACTGTGAGCGAGTGAGTGTGTTACTGTGAGCAAGTGAGTGGGTTACTGTGAGCAAGTGAGTGGGTTACTGTGAGCGAGTGAGTGAGTGTGTTACTGTGAGCGAGTGAGTGAGTGTGTTACTGTGCGAGTGCGTGAGTGTTACTGTGAGCGAGTGAGTGTGTTACTGTGAGCGAGTGAGTGTGTTACTGTGAGCGAGTTACTGTGAGCGAGTGAGTGTGTTACTGTGAGCGAGTGAGTGTGTTACTGTGAGCGAGTGAGTGTGTTACTGTGAGCGAGTTAGTGAGTGTTTTACTGTGAGCGAGTGAGTGATTGTGTTACTGTGAGCGAGTGAGTGAGTGAGTGAGTTACTGTGAGCGAGTGAGTGAGTGTGTTACTGTGAGCGAGTGAGTGAGTGAGTTACTGTGAGTGTGTTACTGTGAATGTGTTACTGTATGCGCGAGTGAGTGAGTGTGTTACTGTGAGTGAGTGAGTGTGTTACTGTGAGTGAGTTACTGTGAGTGAGTTACTGTGAGCGAGTGAGTTACTGTGTGAGTGAGTGTGCTACTGTGAGTGTGTTACTGTGAGCGAGTGTGTACTGTGAGCGAGTGAGTGTGCTACTGTGAGTGCGTTACTGTGAGCGAGTGAGTGAGTGTGTTACTGTGAGCGAGTGAGTGTGTTACTGTGAGCAAGTGAGTGTGTTACTGTGAGCAAGTGAGTGAGTGTGTTACTGTGAGCGAGTGAGTGAGTGTGTTACTGTGAGCGAGTGAGTGAGTGTGTTACTGTGAGCGAGTGAGTGAGTGTTAGTGTGAGTGCGTTACTGTGAGCGAGTGAGTGAGTGTGTTACTGTGAGCGAGTGAGTGTGTTACTGTGAGCGAGTGAGTGTGTTACTGTGAGCGAGTGAGTGTAAATAAATGTAAATGTAAAATAAAAACTGCGCTAATGTGCGATAACATAATTGTCAGCGTTAATTAATGAATGTGTTAATGTGTTTCCGTGCCCAGCCCTAGTTCTTAGAGTTTTTATTATTAGGGCTGATCGATTAATCATGATTAGCTAATCGTGAAGACGGCGATTTAAGTGTGTCTGACCCGTTTTAAACGTCGCGCAGCTACAGATTCGTTGTGTTCGGTTGGGTCCCCCCCGTGCTGTTGTCCTCTGGAGGCTGAGGTATAAAGGTAGTTGTCGAGGGGCTGAGCTGTGTTTGTTCTGCCTGGTGTTCTCGGCCCTTGCTGGTGGTGACGTGCAGCTGAGCTAGTTGATTTTGCCTCGTTGCTAGTTTGGCTGGCGTTGCACGATGCTGGAGGGCGTGCTGTGCATGGGGGATGTTGGCTGGCGCTGGCGGCCTTCACTTCTCCAGCGATTGGGGGAACAGCTGACTTTTATCGGCGGGTGCACGGTGGCCTGGACAGCGCGTTTGCGGGATACACGGGGGGGGGCTGCGGGCGTTGTGCGGGTCGGGGTTCATCACTTGCGCGCTGATGTTGATGATTGTGTGGCGTTTTGGTGTTCGTTCCACAGCGGTGGGGTGCCGGGCGGCACTGTGTGCGCCGTGGTCGGTCTGGGTGGCGCTCTTCTGCGGGTTATTCCTTTTGCATTCTGATGGCAGTGCGTGCTCGATTGGCATTTGTTAGTCGGGGTCTTTCGCGTTTGCGTTGCGGTCCATCTGGGTGTCCACCCCTATTGGCTGCTGGGGTTCTTGCCTGCCCGTCGCTGGTGTCGGTGCGCCGTGGTTGTTGCGTCCCACTTTCACGGTGGTCCCTGGTAGAATATTCCTGATGTTTGTCTTTGAGTTGTTTTAATTCATTGTCACAATGTCAGCTCTCATGGCGGTGCTGTGATGTTTATTCATGCTGCTCGACTGTTTCTCCTTTTCATTTCTCTCTCAGTTGTCTTCCTGTCAGCTGTTCGGCTGGTTGTCCCTTTGTTTTTGTTTGTCTGTCCCAACCCCCCCTCCTCCCGCTTCTCTTGCAGGTGTTTCCCTCTCTCTGTGCCGTTGGTGCGGTGTTTCTAGAGCCCCCCCCGTCTGTCCCGGTGACAAATACGCTGAATAAACAACATGGTATCCAGCTCCTCATGCTCTTACCAGGCTGCCGGGCAGGACAGGTGCAATAACAAGAGCGTTTTGCCGGTCTGATTTTGCTGACTTGTTCACATTTTGTTCAGTTGTCCTGATTTTTGTGCTTCTGCCTTGGTTAAGTAGCTACGTAGGTCAGCTGTTTCTTTGTCTTTTTTAATTGTGTTAAGAAGAGAAGTCTGCACAGGGTGTTTTATTTTGAAAATCAACCTGATTCTCTCTGCCGTTCTGTGTCTGACTTCCTGCTCTGTGCTGCTTCACACGACTTCCATCAAAAATAGAACGGCAGTGAATTTATTTATTTTTTTAATCGTAAATTGAATTAGATTTTTACCCCCAATCGCTACTCTGTGTTGAAATGATCTACAAGTCAACTTTGGATTCAGCGAAGAAGAATGATGGTGTGAGTTACCTGCGTGTGAGAGTGACCTGCGTGTGTGAGAGTGACCTGCGTGTGTGAGAGTGACCTGCGTGTGAGCGTGTGAGAGTGACCTGCGTGTGAGCGTGAGAGAGTTACCTGCGTGAGAGAGTTACCTGCGTGAGAGAGTTACCTGCGTGTGAGAGTTACCTGCGTGAGAGAGTTACCTGCGTGAGAGAGTGACCTGCGTGTGTGAGAGTGACCTGCGTGTGTGAGAGTGACCTGCGTGTGTGAGAGTGACCTGCGTGTGAGCGTGTGAGAGTTACCTGCGTGTGAGCGTGTGAGAGTTACCTGCGTGTGAGAGTTACCTGCGTGTGAGAGTTACCTGCGTGAGAGAGTTACCTGCGTGTGAGTGTGTGAGAGTTACCTGCGTGAGAGAGTTACCTGCGTGAGAGAGTTACCTGCGTGTGAGTGTGTGAGAGTTACCTGCAGGAGTAGGTGGGCTCTCCCACCTTGAACACGTGTCCACATAGCGGTGACGGCTGGTTCTTCTCCTGCAGGAGGGCCAGGCCGGCGGCCGGCTCCTCCCCCAGCAGGAGCCACTCCAGAGGAGCCAGGAGGAGTAGCTGACAGGCCAGATCCTCCCTCTGCTCCTCCCTCTGCTCCTCCCTGCTGCTGCACCCACTAGGACCCAGGCAAAGGATTCTGGGTACATACACGGCCAGGTGGCGGTACACTTCCTGCTGCAGGTCTGAGGCCACCAGCCACCGCTGAGGAGGAGGAGAGGGAAGGAGGGGAAAATTTCCATTTACTCATTTGGCAGACGTTTTTATCCAAAGAGACTTACATTTGAGCTGTCAGCACGTACAGCATCGGTGGGTAAATACCCAGGAAAGAAGTAAGAGTTAACGAATACTGCTATCAATACAAGAGAACTGTGAGAGGACAGAAGAAGAAGAGCACAGGAAGTGATGTCAGAGGTGTTATCAGAGGAAGTGTGCTCTGCAGAGTTTTCAGGAGCTTCTTGAAGTCAGAGAGGGACACCGCTGCTCTGATGGCCTGCTCCCATACTGTACTGTTCCCGTACTGTACTACTCCCGTACTGTACTGCTCCCATACTGTACTGCTCCCGTACTGTACTGCTCCCGTACTGTACTGCTCCCGTACTGTACTGCTCTGCTCCTGTACTGTACTGCACTGCTCCCGTACTGTACCCATACTGTACTGCTCTGCTCCCGTACTGTACTGCTCCTGTACTGTACTGCTCTGCTCCCGTTCTGTACTGCTCTGTTCCCGTACTGTACTGCTCCCATACTGTACTGTTCCCGTACTGTACTGCTCTGCTCCCGTACTGTACTGCACTGCTCCCGTACTGTACTGTTCCCATACTGTACTGCTCTGCTCCCGTACTGTACTGCTCCCGTACTGTACTGCTCTGCTCCCGTTCTGTACTGCTCTGCTCCCGTTCTGTACTGCTCCTGTACTGCACTGCTCCCGTACTGTACTGTTCCCATACTGTACTGCTCTGCTCCCGTACTGTACTGCTCCCGTTCTGTACTGCTCCTGTACTGTACTGCTCCTGTACTGCTCTGCTCCCGTACTGTACTGCTCCCGTACTGTACTGTACTGCTCCCGTACTGTACTGTACTGCTCCCGTACTGTACTGCTCCTGTACTGTACTGCTCTGCTCCCGTTCTGTACTGCTCCTGTACTGCTCTGCTCCCGTACTGTACTGCTCCCGTTCTGTACTGCTCCTGTACTGTACTGCTCCCGTACTGTACTGTACTGCTCCCGTACTGTACTGCTCCTGTACTGTACTGCTCTGCTCCCGTTCTGTACTGCTCCTGTACTGCTCTGCTCCCGTACTGTACTGCTCCCGTTCTGTACTGCTCCTGTACTGTACTGCTCTGCTCCCGTTCTGTACTGCTCCTGTACTGCTCTGCTCCCGTACTGTACTGCTCCCGTTCTGTACTGCTCCTGTACTGTACTGCTCTGCTCCCGTTCTGTACTGCTCCTGTACTGCTCTGCTCCCGTACTGTACTGCTCCCGTTCTGTACTGCTCCTGTACTGTACTGTACTGCTCTGCTCCCGTACTGTACTGTTCCCATACTGTACTGCTCTGCTCCTGTTCTGTACTGCTCCTGTACTGTACTGCTCTGCTCCCGTACTGTACTGCTCTGCTCCCGTTCTGTACTGCTCCTGTACTGTACTGCTCTGCTCCCGTTCTGTACTGCTCCCATACTGTACTGCTCTGCTCCCGTACTGTACTGTTCCCATACTGTACTGCTCTGCTCCTGTTCTGTACTGCTCCTGTACTGTACTGCTCTGCTCCCGTACTGTACTGCTCTGCTCCCGTTCTGTACTGCTCCTGTACTGTACTGCTCTGCTCCCGTTCTGTACTGCTCCTGTACTGTACTGCTCCCGTACTGTACTGCTCCCGTTCTGTACTGCTCCTGTACTGTACTGCTCTGCTCCCGTACTGTACTGCTCTGCTCCCGTTCTGTACTGCTCCGCTCCCGTTCTGTACTGCTCCTGTACTGTACTGCTCCCGTACTGTACTATTGAAGCATCTCCAAACCCAGCAGGTTAATCAGCTGTCAGATAGTTAGTTACCTGCTGAGGCTCAGTGACACACTGACCTGGATATTACCTGACACACCTACTAACCCCTGCTAACACACAACACATCTGCTAACACCTGACATACATGCTAACACCTGACACACCCAAGCGAGAAGCTTCCCTTAAACCTGCATTCTATTGAACGACCAGCAGGGGGCGACTCTTCTGGTTGCAGAAAGAAGTGTGATTGTATGAAAGTCTCTGAGAAAATGTTTCTACTTCTCAGCTGATTTATTCCCCCAGTAAACACTTTCCTGATGATGATGTTTATGGTCTCAGTCGCTAGTTTTCAAGTCTTCTTCTTCTTCTTCAGCATGATATTCATTTAGTAAATTATGGTCACATTTAGAGGAACAGAGACCAGGAAGCAGGGGAGGCTTTAGAGCTGATTGACAAGTCGTTATCATGGCGACAGGATAGAGGTGACTCGTACCCATGGCACTGTGTAATTTAACCAGCGCCGTTGAAAAAGCTTATTAGGAGTCGGCTGCTCATTTTCTCTGGTGAGTACATTTAGTTAGCTAGCCTGTTGTTCCCTAGACAAAGTTACCAGCCCTGTTAAAATACCTAGCTAAGCCAGCTAGCTAGCTCCACATACAGCCTTTAGCTCAACCGTCTCGTCCAAATATGTTCACGTCCAGTTCCGCTGGTTGCAAAAACTCAACATGGCGGCGCTCTATCGACCAAACTCGAGGCATCACCATGACTACGTCCACTTCTTTTATACAGTCTGTGGACACACATGCTAACACAAAACACACCTGCTAACTCCTGACACACAAGCTAACACACGAGACACATGCTAACACCTGACGTACCTGCTAACTCCTGACATACATGCTAACACCTGACACACAAGCTAACACACAACACACCTGCTAACTCCTGACATAAATGCTAACACCTGACATACACAGCGGCGGCTGTGGTTCAGGAGGTAGAGCTTTAATCGGAAGGTTGGCGGTTCAGTCCCCGGCTCCTCCAGGCTGCATGCTGAAGTGCCCTTGGGCAAGATGCTGAACCCCGAATTGCCTCTGGCGGCTGTTCCGCCAGTGTACGAATGTGTGTTAATGTTAGCACTTAGTCTCAGTGTACGAATGTGAGTGAATGGTGAACGCAGATAGTGTAAAAGCTCTCTGAGTGGTCGAAAAGACTAGAAAGGCGCTATACAAATACAGAGCATTTACATTTACACACCTGCTAACACAGAATATCAGTTGATATAAATCTGATGTAAAGTTACATTAGCGTGATAAAAGGTTATATCCTCCACCTTTATTGTGCCTGACTGTATGGAGACCAGACCAGTTACACCATGTTTCAGGGCTGCGGTCTGAATAAACAACAACAGGTCACGTGTCACAGCCTGAGCACCTGTGTTATCATGTAGAAAGTTTATTAGTTTAATGGCTAACAGCGGCTAACAGCAGCTAGCAGCAGCCAGGTGTCGCACCAAACTCTGAGGAGTTTACCTGCTGTTATTACCTTTGATCAGGTACATTATTCTGAGAGCTGTGAAGCAGTAAACTGAAATATTAAAACATTACGGAGTCTCTGTCTCTGGCAGGGGACGGTGCTGCCTTACAGGTGTGTCTGTACCTCACCTGAAACTCGTTTATTCCACGTGTTGTGGTTTAATGTGCGTGAAAATAAAGATGTGTCCCAGAGTGTTCCGGGCACCATATTCACTGCAACACCGGTGTGACAGCTGGAAACTAACAGGATGTTTTCAGACGGTTTACATGTTTTAAACAGGTAAAAATTCTTAGGTGTGACTTAATAACAGCCTCAGTCTGTGTTTCAGGTGAGAGCTCGCGCTGACACTCAGCCAGCAGCTGTTTCTGACAGCTTTCCTCTCACATCCAGATGTTTACAGATCACCGCGAGCCGCGCAGCTAGCGTTAGCGTTAGCATTAGCATTAGCTCCAAGTAGCCGAGCTGAAAAACAAGCCGGAGTCAGATTAACGTTCGGCAGGTGAAACACGTCAGCGTGAGGCGCTGACAGCACAGGTGTGAGTCAGCGGGGCGCCGACAGGTGAGGGGCCGCTTACCGACGCGGTGTCTTTGGCGGAGAAATTCAGAAACTCCGAACATAAAGCGGACGGTTGATCTCTGTCGGACTGAGCCGCCGCCATCTTTCCTCCCTCTGCTCTGAGGCTGCTGGAGAAGAACCCGGAACCGGAAATCATCAACAGCTGAGGGGGCGGGGCCTGTTTATTGTCGTTAACTTCAAAAAGCACAAGTGTACGGCAGAGCGTTAGGGCCACATTACGAGAAATTAATTATGGAAATACAAAATAAATAAAAAAATCTTCATCATGCTGTTTTTCCGTAATTCGGCCCGAACACTCGAAGACAGAACATTTCAAGAGAACCTGGTGAAAAGTCACAATAAAAGAAAATATAATAACTCAATTTTAGTGTTACAAGTTTTTCAGTTTTTCGGGCCACATTAAAGGAAAACTGAGGATTTTTTATATATTTTGCATTTCGAGAAAAAAGTTGAAATAGCATCTCGACTAAAATACCACAAATAAAAATGTCCTCATATTTTCCTCAATGTGGCCTGAATACTCTGTCGTACAGTGTTTGGTTCATGAAGATATTTAAAAAGTATTTAGAAGAAATCTTCAGTGCTGAAATAAGAGTGTATGTTTCCTCCCCCCCAAATACTGAGCATTAAACACATCACATGCTGCACCAGCTCATGTTGGAAATGTCTTTATTTATATTAAGGGAAACACAAACGTCAGGTGAGAGTTCAAAATATAAAATGTAATGGGAATATAATAAAGTAATCACTTCCTTTATTGGGTAACGCACATTTGTTTCTTCTTTATTTAAATTCCATTGCATGTTTTGTTATTGTGTAAATAAACTTTTCTCAAAATATTTTCATTTGTTTAGAGTTTTAATATTTGCAAAGTATTATATAAACATTTCTTGTTGCTGTTTTTCAGAACATTTTAATTAAAATCGTGTCCCCAGCGTCTCCGGTGTAAATCACACCTGTGATCAAATACATCAGTGGAAATAAAATAAATAGAATAATACAATAACAACAGACGTGAGAGAACAGGAGCTGAATATAAAATCATCTTTAAACGCTGCAGCTTCTTCCTGAGAAGCAGAACAGAAAACCCGTTTAATCTCAAGAAATGATCAAATTCATCAATCTTGTTTAAACACATTTAGAAACTTCTGCCGTTATAGAACTCTCCAGGGTTCTGGTCTGGTCTGATCAGGTTCTGGTCCTCTCTGATGGGTCAGGTTTTATCTCCTCTCAGACTCAGATCTGTTAACCTGACTCAGTCCTGTTCTGAACCAGCTGCTGAACCAGAGTCCGGAGCTGCTTCAGCTCTGCTCGGATAGCTTCAAGCTCCTGGTTCTGCAGGTTCTGAGGCTCCTGATTCTGCAGATTCTGGTCCCGAAGCTCCTGGTTCTGCAGGTTCTGATGCTCCTGGTTCTGCGGGTTCTGGTCCTGAGGCTTCTGGTCACAGAGCTTCTGGTTCCGAAGCCGCTGGTTCTGGTTGTGAAGCTGCTGGTCCTGAAGCTCCTGGTCCTGGTTTGGGTCTATCTGGACTCTGGTAGAGAGAAGCATTAGACTAAGACCAGCAGCTCACTCAGGATCCCAGGTTTGGACTCTGGGTGTTCGAACACTGAGCCGATCAGAATCAGATCCGAAGTTGCAGATCAAAGTATGAAGGAATACAAATAAAAGAAAGTTGGTAAGTAAAGAAATAAATAAATATAAAAAGTGTAAATATAAGTTATAATAAGATATGAACAGTATTTACATCATTAACAGAAGTGTAACGATGAACAGCAGCAGTGACTAAATAGTACTAAATAGTGTAAGAACTGCAGTATTAGGAGTATTAATATATTGAAACAGAATGTGAAGTACCTCACTACAAGTTTAATAACTCTGGGTCTGTGTGTCACATACATCAATATAGTCCTGTTTCTAGCACAGAGCACAAACAAATCCAGATTATTCCACACAGTCAGGTTATGGATGAAATGGCATGATCAGGCAGAGTGCGGGCAAAAGACACAGAGAGGAGGAGCAGGCAGTCAGAGACTTTCCCAGACTCAGGTGCAGAAGGAAAGAGAGCCAAGAGATGATGTGAAGCCAAGAAACAGAGCTATAAAAGCAGGTCCAAAAGGAGGTGAAAGTCAGTCGTTACATGGTTTTCATGTGGACTCGGTTCTCTGTTCTGGTAACAGAATGGGGCTCTATTTTGCACCGATCTCTGACTCACTCCGGTGGAACTTTTGTATTCTAATTGGTGTCTGTTTTTGTTGAAAATAAAAATGTTGATAAGAGTTCAAGCTTTCTTATCTGGCCCAAGTCTTGAATTTTTACACGACAGTGACAGGACCTACCAATTTCCCTACCAGCAAGATAGTCATCTCCACGCTGCTGCACAGGAGAGACTTCCACCCCCACACCATTCACAGAGCGAATATCAGACTCTCCAGGGACTGTGCCCTCAAACCCAACGTGTTCTTGGCCCCCCACCCGACCCTGCACCTGGACTGCCTGTATGATAACATACACCTACACAGAAATGCAGTCCCCACCCTTGCTAGGACCTTGAAGGATGTTGCTCTTGGAAGGAGCCCTACTACCACTCCAAGGGGTTACTACACAACTCAGACCCCACGCAGACCTCCAGGACCTCCTAGACCTCCAAGACCATCCAGACCTCCACCACACATCCACCCCCGGCTGTCAGAGAAGACGGCCAGGCTACCAAACCCACCGCATCACCAACATCGCAACCCACAGCCAACACAACACTGGCCCCTGATACCCAGCCAGAGAGCCCCCCAGCCTGGAGGTCCTATACCCCCCCCATCCCAACGGCAGAACCAAGACTACAGGAGCAGCAGCCTATTGGACTGGACTACGCTGCAGCGGTGAGAAGAGCCACAGCCCCGCCCCCCTCTGGTGAACTCAAAGACATATCACACATGCTAAACCTGCTCTGCTCTCGCCTCATAGCTACATGGTGGAAGAGCAGAGACTCTTAGAGACATCACAATAATTCATAGTTTAGCATGTTGGATATCATTTTAAACCAATAGCAATATAAGGACAATTCTTAACAGTATTTCACACATGATACACTTTAAAATGTAACTCAAACTTTATTTTATTTATTTACCTACAACACTATTTTCCTCTTTTTACACTTTTTTTCTTCTTTTCATTTGTTACTACTACTTTACATTTGTTTATTATTATTAGTTTTTTAAGGTGTTTGTCTAATTTTTGAACAGATTACACTTGGAGATGAAATCGTTTACAATAAAATGTTGGAACATTCGAGGTCTGAGATCATCAGCTTTTGGTTTAAAGAGCATAAATCCAGATTTTAATAGAGAGTTAAAAGACTCTGACATCGTAGTTTTACAGGAGACATGGTGCAGAGAAGATGTTTCCACTGGTCGTCCTCACGGCTACACTGACATTATTATACCATCAACAAAAAAATCCCACAGTAACCCAAGGCAGAGATTCAGGAGGCCTGATTATATGGTGTAGATCAGAACTGATCCAGTCCATCACAGTTATTAAAAAAGAAGAAGCTAATATATGGTTGAAAATGAACAAACAGATGATTTGTGCTGAGCAACATGTCTACATGTGTGCCACCTATATACCTCCATCAGAATCCCCTACTACAACCCAGATACTTTCTCTATTCTTGAGAAGGAACTTAACCATTATGAAACCATGGGAAATGTGTTACTCTGTGGGGACTTGAACGCTCGAACAGGGGAAAGAGCTGACAGTATGAACACCCAGGGAGACAAACACTTACCTGGAAGCACCTGCTTCCCCCTCCCTGAATGTCCTGCTAGAAAGAGCTTTGACAAGCTGACTAATACAAGTGGGGGTGTACCAGAAGGCACTGGAAAATCAAAACATACATGATTTAACTCATTTATTTCTAACTGAAACATTTTCCCAGAATAATTCTGGTGTAAATTCTGCTGTGGACAAAATCAATTCAATATTTCATCATTTGGCTTCATTGTCTAATTTGAAAGCCTCCAAACCAAAACCTCAACAAATGAACAATAACAAATGGTTTGACACTGAATGCAAAACAGCCAGTTCTGGGAGAAATGGAACAACCTAAACAAAACCCAGCAGGATGAACTGGCAATCCAAGATGGAAATACTTTGATTAATCACTTTAGTGAATTATACAGTAATATTACAAAAAATTATGATCAGTACAAGATATTCACGAAATGGAAAACTCTGGAGGCGGTGATAAAAAACAACCAAAACCCTCTAGATTATAGAAGTCATCCAGTCCCTGAAAGGAAAAAGGCTTGTGGTACTGATGGAATCCTCAACGAAATGATCAAATACTCAGACCATAAAATCAAATATACTAAAACTATTCAATACTATTCTAGCAACTGGAACTTTTCCAGACATCTGGAACAAAGGTTTAATAACCCCAATTCATAAATCCGGAGATAAATATGACCCAAATAACTACAGAGGAATATGTGTATCCAGTAACCTGGGAAAAATATTCTGCAACATCATTAACAAACGACTTGTCAACTTTGTTGATAACCACAATATTCTGCATAAATGCCAAATTGTTTTTTTTGCCAAATTGCCGCACAACAGACCATATATTTACCCTCCAGACTGTAATTGATCAAGAATTAAACATTAAGAAAAGAAAGGTATATGCCTGTTTTGTTGACTTCCAAAAACCTTTGATTCCATCTGGCACGAGGGCCTTTTCTATAGGCTACTTGAAAGTGGCATTGGAGGAAAAACATATGATTTGATTAAAAACATGTATACAAAAAGTGAATGTGCCATAAAGATTGGAAACAAACTAACAGTGTTCTTCTCCCAGGGCCGGGAGTGAGGCAGGGATACAATGTGAGTCCAATTTTCTTCAACCTCTATATCAATGAATTAGCAAACCAATTAGAGTTCCACAGCACCTGGCCTCCTCCTGAACGACACAGAGATCAGAGGTCTGCTGTATGCAGATGAATTTGTACTAGAACCAATAATTCTATATGGTAGCAAAATCTGGGGGCCAAAACTTAATAATGAATTTGACAAATGGGACAAAACAATCATAGAATCTTTCCATACTGAGTCCTGTAAGAACATCCTGCAGGTGCAGAGAAAAACACCAAATAACCTGTGCAGAGCAGAGCTCGACCAATACCCCCTTCTACTAAAAATACAGAAAAGATCACTTAAATTTTACAATCACTTAAATCAGTTAACCCCCAGACATATCATCACAAAGCCCTAACATACCAGGAGCTGAAACCAGAGAAGAGTCCCCTCAGCCAGCTGGTCCTGGGGCTCTCTGCAGTAACAAGTCCCCAACAGCCTCAGGACAGCAACACCAACTCAAGCAGACCAAACCAAATTATCAGCAAACAGAAAGAAAATATATTGAATACTGGAAAGAAACGACCAAAACACAAAGTAAATTCCAATGTTATCTGACCCTAAAAAGAGAATTCACACTGGCAAATTACCTGAGTACAATAAAATGTCCTAAACTAAGAAAAATGTTGACAACATACAGACTGAGTGAACACAGCCTGGCCATAGAAAAGGGTCGTCACAGACAGAGCTGGCTACCACAAGAGGAGACACTCTGCTCCCAGTGTGACAGAGGACAGGTAGGGACTCAGAGGACAGGTAGAGACAGGGGAGAGGTAGAGACTCAGAGGACAGGTAGAGACTCAGAGGACAGGTAGAGACAGGGGAGAGGTAGAGACTCAGAGGACAGGTAGAGACTCAGAGGACAGGTAGAGACTCAGAGGAAAGGTAGAGACAGGGGAGAGGTAGAGACTCAGAGGACAGGTAGAGACTCAGAGGACAGATAGAGACAGGGGAGAGGTAGAGACTCAGAGGACAGGTAGAGACAGAGGACAGGTAGAGACTCAGAGGAAAGGTAGAGACAGGGGAGAGGTAGAGACTCAGAGGACAGGTAGAGACAGAGGACAGGTAGAGACACAGAGGACAGGTAGAGACAGGGGACAGTTAGAGACAGAGGACAGGTAGAGACACAGAGGACAGGTAGAGACAGGGGACAGTTAGAGACAGAGGACAGGTAGAGACTCAGAGGACAGGTAGAGACAGAGCTGCACTTTCTAACCTCGTGCCCTAAATATAAAACACTAAGACAAAAACACTTTGCAAACATTTCCTAAATATGCCCCGAATTCTAATTCATATCAGACAAACAGAAACTCCCCTATTTACTGGGAGAAATGCCTAAATGTGAAATAATTGCTGCAAAATATGTCTCCTCATGCCATGAAGTGAGGACAACCAGTGGAACCTCAGACTGATAAATAATTGTACAGATTTTCAAATTATTATTATTTTGATCATTTGATATTTTAGTAATTGTTTTGTTTTTACATTTGATACTGATTTCTTTTTTAAAAATGTATTATTATTATTTTTTAATCAATTAATTATTATTTTTTTAATTTTGTCTATTAATACACACACACACACACACACACGTTACTGTTTCATTTGTTTATTTATTTTCATTTTTAATATATTTTTATTTT